CCATGGATAATTGAAGTATTTTAGAGAGCTTTTAACCATCATCCATGCATTTGTAAAAAGAGGACAAAATATTTTCTGCAGTTCTATGACCCATAAATTGGGAGGTAAGATACTTAGTGCAAACTTTATTATCAATTCCTTACCATAATGTCCATCTGCTTGGATTGTAGAGACTGATTTAACGTCTCATCAAAGAGTACAGTGTAGCATTCAACATTCTTCAGCTCATTTATAAGAATCCCTTTGAAGTATAGTGCCAATCCAAAGGAGCCCAAATAGGCTCACTTTGTGGCACTACAAAAAAATTGTCTCGCTATACACCTATTAGCAAACATTTTGGAGAACCATTTACTAATCCCTTCCCAGGAGTTACATGAATAATTACTAGTGATGCACTTCAGATACCAGAGAATTTCAGCATCAAGCACATTCCTTTTGACCAGATAAGACAATGTTACCTCGGCCACTAAAGTTTCTGGATCACATGGGGCACACGATGTTGAAGGAGTATTTACACCAGATGAATTAGATGATGTCTTTGGAAAAAGAGAACTCAGGGCATGAGACTGCTTTTTTGTTTTACCTTTCTTTCATGTGTGATTTCAGAGCAGATTCTTCCATTTTTGCGATATCGATCTCCTTCATGCATAATCGGCACTTGGCTCTGAACTTCTTTTCGGGCATCGATAAAATCCATTCTTTATAAGCTTGATTATCCATCCATTGGGGATTAAAATAGCACTTCCCAGGCATAACTAGTCTAAACTACATAACACAAATACGAAGCCGTGCCTTTGCGAATACGCTTTACAATAAAGTTTTGAAATGACGCAAATGGAGGGCAAGTGTGGATGGTAAAATGGCAAATTTATTGAAAACTAAAAGGTACATATTATTACGAAATTCGAGAGTATTCCAGTTTCGATAAGAAAAAGAAGATCTAAGCATATGCGACAGAAGATGAAGTGGAGCCTCGCCCCGAAAGCATTGATTGTCTGCTGTGCTCCGCGCTTGGCAGACACCAAGACACTAGGCCCGGTTAGAAACGGCGGCGTTAAAAAACACGCGAGAGAGCTCAGGAACAAAACAGAAAGAACGAGAAAGATCCGCGGGTGTTTTATAAAAAGGGCCGCCGGCAGTATTGGACAAATTCAAGGACCTATCAAGTTTTTCAAGGACCTAAGACGTTTTTCAAGCACTTTCAAGGACCTAAATTTAGCAAAAAATAATTCAAGGACTCTCAAGGACTGTGGGAACCCTGTATGGGCATTTTCATTAAAAAAAAATACATTTTTTGCAATAAGTTTAAAATATTCATTAAAATGAAAGAATTTTTTTAGAGCAATTTAAAATTAATAATGTTTAACTTTGCGTTGCCAGAAAATTAATTTTGCATTGCAATTTTAAAAAGAATTCGTTGAAAACTGTGCTATATATAAGTAATTAAAGTAGTTCTTTTATACTGTGCATGAGTGCAAAAAAACTGAAATTTTTTTGTCTCCATAGCTCTGTAGTGAATTGCATTTAGCAATTAATGAAAAAAGTCTGATTTGAATATCTTCATTTCAAGCAACTTTAAGTAGTTTTTGTATTTTTGAAAAAAAAGCTCAATGTGATAAGAGGTTTTCTACAAATATTATTTTGCATTAAAGACAAAATTAAATAAATAATACCTTACAATAAATGTTCATATACAGAAATATGATTGTATAAGGAAAGAAAACATACTTTTGGGGCAGATGATCCCCAACAATGCCGGTGCCATTTTTAATACATCTTATTTAATAGCATACAAAATAAAATTTGTGGAAAACCCCTTATCATTTTGAACCTTCTTTTAAAAAGTATGAAAACTAGTAGTAGTAGTACTAAAAGTGTATATTAAAAAAACTGCATATTTATTAGTTCAGACTTTATAAGTGTTTTAGCTAATGGCAGTAGTTCATATTTATTCCTTTTTTCCAAATTAATTCATTATAATAAATGAATTTGCAACCTAAAAAACTGAAGCTACAGAATAATCTGAAATCTTAGTATTACTTTACTTTTAACCAAACTTTTTTCTCTTTAAACTTTTACCAAACTTTCGGTGGTTTGCAAAGTTTTGCCATTTAACTGCTCTATACTTTTGTTTACTTATTGTAAGTTTAAAGTCATTTTAAAAGGAGTGGTAGAATTTAAAAATAAATAGTTTTGACTAAAAGAAAAAAGAGATGACAGCAGTTAACCAAATACAGAAGACGTAAGCAAAAACAAAAAAACAAAAAAAAAAAGAATTATCTACAATAGGTAAGACAGACATAACAAGACAGACAGTTTGGAAGAAAAAAAATGTCTCAAAGAGAATTATTCAAAATTGTTTTTTTAAGGTACTTTTATTTGTACTTATTTAAAGTTTCTTCAACAAAAAAAAAAATTATCACCATACAATTACTGATACAATATATACAATCGCAGAAAAATAAAACCAAAGTAATGAACATTAAGTGACTTAAGTAAAGAGCTTAAAGTTATAAGAGCAGAACAGTGGGCAGAAATAAATTATGGAAACACCTTACATGCATATAAATTTTAAAAAATCTTGCTTAAATAGCAAACATATTACAGTAATGGACTGAAACAACTAGTTTATTCCCCAACAAATAGTAATAACAAATAGTTAGAATAGTTAATATTTTTTAAAAATAGTTAGAATTAAAAACAGTTTCTTTTTTTTCCCCTGTCTTCTCTCATAAATAATGATAGATAAGAAAAAAAGGGCATTACACACCTGCAGGATGGACTGTGCATGTCTTTTTTAGTGCCAGATTTTAAAAAGGGAAAAATATTCTTAAATCATTATTTATGAGAGTAGGACAATTATTTCTTTTTCTTTATTATCTATCAAGTATTTTTTTAGCCTTTTTTTAAAAGAGAAAATCTGATACGAAAAATAATCAGCAATACCCCAGCTGAGGTGTTCCTGTTACCAGCAGAATACATAATCAAAATAAAATAATTTCAATATCACTACAGAAAATTATATTGATCATTATAAAAAAAAACTACAGAAAAATCGTTTAATAATTACAGAAATATCACTACAGGTTGAAATTTCCAAGAATACGAAATCAAATTGCATACCGAAAAGTCCACACAAATGATAAAAATATATATTTGAATTTCAATAACTTATAATAACATGATTTAAATACACTTGACAAATTTAGCACACATTTCTAAGTAAAATAATAAAAAGACAAATATTTAACAAATATTTCTAATATATTTTTATTGTTTGTCATAATACATATTAATAAATAAGTTTGCAAAAGCACATTGTATATAACATATACTTACCAGAATATATGGTTACTCTTTGAGGCATTATTTGAGTACCTCTTGTCTGAGTATAATCATTGTTTCGTATCCTATACCACCATCCTCCACCAGAACAAAACAGTATAGTCAGAAATACCATTAACCTAGAATTAAATAAATATCAGTGAACAATATAAAAAAGCTCTTAATTTATATTTAAAATCAGGGCTCATTTTATCATAACAAATTCCGATGGAATAAAAAGAACCCTGTAATTCATATTCATAATCAGGGCTCTAAATAAATATCACTTAACAATACTTAAAAAAGCTCTGTAATGCATATTTATAATCAGTTTTCTAGCTGTATCTAAATAAATATCTGACATTGTTAGGAAAGAAGTCCTGTAATTCATATTTATAATCAGGGCTCTAGTAAAGTTTAAGTGAATAACAGTGAACAATAAGAAGGAAAAAAAAAGAAGCTTATAATTCATATTAACAATCAGGGTTCTAATCAAAAAAAGTTTTAGCTTCAGTGAAAATATAAATGATGTCAAGTCAAGAGTATTATTGTTGTTCTTTCAATCATCAATGATAACTTTCCCTAAATCGTTTTTTAACCCTTTTAACCCATGCAAGTACAGCCCTTTATTATTCCTAGGGAGGACTCTAGTAAAACTACTTTACAGAAGTTTGTCTCTTTACTTAATACTGCATAATATTACACATTTTGATAAATTCTTACAGTGTTGAGTGAGTGTCCTTACAAAACTTATAGAGCACTTTATTATTCCTAGGGAGGACTCTAGTAAAACTACTTTACAGAAGTTTGTCTCTTTACATCTTGATCATCATTTGGTGTTTAAACTGAGAAAGATTTCTTGTCTGTTTATAGAACCCAAACTATAGGGTATCTATTTCTGAACTTTTGTTTGTGCTTTATTCATTGCTTTTTTTTTTCTTTAATAATTTAATTGTGATTATAAAATTTAAAAACTCTACTCAATATAATTCTGTAATGCCTATTCTACTTTTACACAAGGAGTGAAAGCACTTTAAATTCTGTTCTGCTTCAACTACAGTATATCAACTACAGGGTGCGTAGTCAAATTATTCAACAAAAATAAGCACCTTTTAAGCACTCAAAAAATATTTTTAAGCACTTTAATAGAATATAATTAGGCAGGGTTGCAAAGTTTTTTACAATTGATGGTTTTATCTTGTTTTAATCGTCATGTCAAAAAACAAAAACAAAACTTTTGTCATTGTTTTCAACAATTGTCAAGCATTATGAAATTTTAAAGTTTTCATACGCTACGGACAGACAATACACCAAAATAGATTGGGGTTGAATTAAATGCGAAAACGTTGAATAGAGCAATGTGAACTGTGACTCTTTGCGTAATTCGAAGCGAAAATCAACATAGTAAAGGAAAAATCTCTTTTTGAAAAAGGGAAAATTAAGCACTTTCTAAAAACACCCAATAAAAAACAGCACCTTTAAGGGCTTTTAAAAAACGAAAATAAGCACATTTAAGCACTTTTTAAAAATGCTATGCACCCTGAACTATCTTCTCTGGGATATGCATTTAGAGTAAAAGGCATCAGTTTCAAAAGTGTATTGTATTTTTATAAAAAAAATTACATTTTCCTTCCTCAGATTCCCATAATAATATATATGTAATAATAATATAGATATAATAACATAATATTATCAATACTTTATAAAATGCTATTAGAGATTTTAATCGATCTTCAACAAACATAAAAACCTATTAGAATCTGCTTAATTAAAAATCACTTTAAAATAAAAGTTTTGGTGCCATAAAAGAAAAAAATGAGATCAATTTGATTATAATTGTTTTTACACCTTCAGAAAAGAGACCTTTTTGAGATTCGTAAATGAATTTCCTGAGTTATCTTATAGGAAATTAGATTTAATACAAAATCTATGACACTAGTCTATTATAAGTTTATAAGTTTCTAATGCTTTGAAGCATGAATTTTTTGAAACTGAAAAAGTAACACCAAGCGAAACTTATTTAATGAAAATATCCATCACAGAATTTTGATATTTAATGCGCAAATCTTATTCGAGATAAGGCGAAAGAGCTACAGCAAAAAGAGAAAGAGCTCAAGATAGCATTTCTATTTGCTGTCATGCCTCAGCAATTTTGGAAAACAAAGCTAAACTTAGCACAGAAGTATAAAACTACTAACTGATTTAGTGTACAATTTTCTTTTAGAAAATGAAATAAAACTTTTCTAAAGAAGATAATAAAGTTTCTGAGCACTGAATATTATTTTTGAATAGATTATGACTAAACATATTAAATTTGTAACACTTTCCATCTAGTCTAGGGGTACAAAAATCTCCAATCGAAGTACTTTTTCACAAAATTATGAGACCAAATTTACTCTGATCATAATGCTGCATCGGCCAAAGCATTTTATGTTTTAGTAGAGTTATTTTTTAATCATATTGAAAAATTATTTAAATCTGATATGTTTTTAAAGTTCTTGAAAGGGTGTGGGGGAAAAGCTTCTAGCATTCAAAATGGAAAGACTGGGTCAAAATATGTCGGGATGCACTGGTTTAGGAGTTAAATGGTTAAATGAGCCTGGCTGAGAAACACTGAATTATATTAGAATAAAAAAATAATAATAATAAGTGAAACTCTGAATCAGTTTTTAAATGACCACTCATAAAGGATAAACTTGACAAAAACCTTTGTTTTCACACCTACCATAAGCTTTGTAATAAAAAGGGTAAAAAAATTACTTGCGAATTCTTTTACATTACATAATGATCCCTTGTGGCAGCTTGAAGCCCACCCAGTTTCAGACCGAAGTCAGCCAGTGTGCAATGCTGATAACATGGCCACCATCGTGCTATTGATTACGAAATTGTGGAGCCTTGGTCCACAATGGGCTCTTGCGGAAATGCTGTACATAACATAAAAGGTAGAGAGAGGAAGTAATCAGAATGGATAATGGAACATTTCATTAACACCCCAATAAACATCAAACTGTAAACCCAAAGTAAAAGTAGGAGTGATTTGAAGACTATGAGCAAAAGATCAATTTCATAAATAAATATTTAAAATTTTTTTAAAAAATTTTTGCTTTTATTTTGACAAATTATAATATATTCTCACAATGTAAGAGACTGCAAAACTTATAAACTCTACAGAAGAGTTTTAATTTTTATAAATACAGCTTACAGGGTTAATTTATTTATAATATTTAATTTATTTTAACAAACTTACTTTTTTAACACATTAAAAAAGCACAACATATTTAAAATAACAGCAAATATTTCTCAAAAATGATTTAACACCTACCAGAAATACCACATTTGGTAAAATGTCATAGCGGAGGATCGGCAACATGACATTCCACAGCAAAATTCATAAATAGAGCACCTGAAAAATTATAGGAAAAAATTAAGAATAAGTTTTAATCAAACAAAACTTACTAACAATGTTGCATATTTGAAATATTGTTTGCAATTTTCTTTCACAGTGGAAAAAACCACACAGAAAGAAATAGGTTTCTTCAACCCCAAGTGGAAGAAACTCTTTTCATACAAATTTTTGAACAGCTTATAATTCAATCCAGTTTAAATAATAGAATGAATGTTCAAGCTATTTAATACATTATTTTTAAACATGTGAAAACTAAAAAGCAACAATTTGGAAGAAAAATAAATTTAATGATATTCATAAGAAATCAAGAATTTTATATTTTNGACACTCCTGCAAAACGGACGCCTCTCAATACGGACATATTTTTAATTCCCCGGGAATCTTCTATGAATAAACCATTACGTACATTCTCTGCAATGCGGACACTCCCGTAACCGGACGCGGACAGTCATTTTGGTCCTGAAACGTTGTTTTCTATCTCTACAAACCGGACATTACTTTCTCTAAATTTGAAAAAGGAACTATTTTTGCTTTTAATTGGAAGCTTAAAAAAAATGCAACTTTTCACCATTTTTAAAGCATGCAAATAAAAATTTTTGCCTTATCCGTAACTAAAAACATTCTTTAGCTATTTCACCACTGAAAAATCAAAAATCAATCTTTCTCCTGTCACCTTGCCTTATCTTTGTGAAGAAAGGAGAGAATACTGAACTCCTGATATAATTCTGACATCGGCGTCTTTTGATCTTTTCATCTGGACCACATAAGGTCATGAGACCCCTCAAGCTGAAATGACATCTCTCAATGCTTCTTCCCCATTAAAAATTTCTTTAATTTTCTTATAAATTTGAAGATTGTATTTAACACAACTGGGGTAAAAAATAGAGTTTATATAAATGAAACATTTATTCAGACAATTGATAGCTGATCAATTGAGAATAATCAACTCCATAGGTCCTCATTACTTACAGGTATTCATAGCTTTTTTTTCTGTGAATCATGGGAGGTTTTTTTTTGTCAAGAAGGTATAACCATGGTCCCTATCAAATGATAAGTAGGTGTAAGGGGATGTCAAACTATTAATTGAAACGGACTGAGGACAGAAAGCTCTCATTCGGTACCATATGTCTACTTGAGTATGTATGCTGATATGAAAATTATATTTATTTATTTATTCATCTGTAGCTACATCCAGAATTCTGTATTTATATCAAACTTCTTTATATATTCTTTTTTATCTTTCTTATTGTTTAAATAAATATTCTTGTAGATATTTATAGTATCCTTGTAGATACTATTTAATTATTTCTATATCTTTGAAAATATTCTAAAAACAATTTACGGTGTTAAATTTCGTTATTAGTGTACCCTTCCCGTAAACGGACAACTCTCATAAACGGACAAATTTTTTGGTCCCATGAATGTCCGCGTAACGGAGGTTTCACTGTATATATATATATATATATATTTTTTTTACATTTATGAGTATAAAAAAAACTTTAATAAATATTTAAAGAACTGTTAAATTAACCAATCACATACTAAATATATATACTAACATCAATCACACATTAAATTCACAATTACAAATAACATACTATTTTTTATAATCAAATACTGTTAACTCTTTGAATATTCACTCTGACACTTAAATAATATTATATAGCTTATAAATTGAAAAATTCTGTATGAAACTCAAATAATTAATAGAAAAATAAAAATAAAAATTTTAAGTACTGATGTGAAAAACTTTTGACTTTCTGGTACATAAATTTAATTTATTCAAATTTAAGCAATTCTTATGCTGCTTATTTTTAAAACAATTTTATTGCATTCAATTCTAGCAATCTTTAATATTAACAAATGTTCTTCAATTCCATAAACAATTCTTTAGAACAATTTTAGTTTCTCCAATTTTGTTCAGTTTCTTTTGGTTTTTAGTTTCTTTTTAGTGTCTTGGTAGAAATAGGTTTCACCCTGACAAAATGTCAACCCTGATGATAAATATGATATTGAAAGTAAAACAAGTCAGTAAAAACAATCAGCAAAGTAAATTCAAAAATGCAAAGTATCATTTTACAGTAGTAATAAAAATTCATTTCCATAGTAAAGACCTTTGACCCCCCCTCCCACCTTTCAAATGGACGTTCAAATTCATTGTCGAAAAAAAAGCTGAGCAAACTTGTCAAAAATGAATTAAATTTAGAATTATAAGTAATTCAGAATCAAAATTAAGATATCTCTGCAAAGAATCATTCTAAAGCTACGAATATTTAATTTCTTGTTATAATTTTCTTTTAAATTTTGTCAAAAAAACTTATTATTTTTTATTTATTTTGCTAACTATATAATTAGTTTGCAACCATAATAAAAATTATTAACTGATTCCGAGTTACACCCTCTCTTAGAAAGTGAACTAAAAGTGTTCCCTCCTTCAAAGAAGATACTAACATTTTTAGAGCATTGGCTTTTATTCTATGTAAGCTAAGACCGGACACAAAATTAACTAATCATAATGCTTCTGGTCTTGGTTAGAGAAATCTCGGGTCATTGCACTTTTGCACTTGATTATGTGAATGTCATACACCATTTGTAACGCTGTATGACTTAAATTGTATCGAATGCTTCACAGTTGTAAAATCATTATTTTATGTAACAAAGATTGATTGGGTTATGGTTAGCACAAGACTAGAGTAATATTTTATAACAAATTGAGCAGAAGAAAAAGATTGTAAAGTGACAGTGCTTGTTAATGCTTTTCAGTGTAAACATGATACGGGTTACATGCTATAACATGTAAAGTACGTCAAAGATTCTATAGTGGAAGACAAAGAAAAAAATTAATTAATAAAGCGTCAGATGATTTATAGAGGCAAAAACAATTTCTAAAATTAAAATAAATATTAAAAGAAATCTCTTTCATCTTTATTGCTTTCCGAAAGAGAAGATAAAAATAATTCTGATTATCAAATAATTGTTGATTTTCTCTGATGCAGGTGTTAGTTCAATTCTTATTATAAGTCCTGACAATTCAATTATATGTCCTTTTTCCGAAATTATAATTGAATTGTCATGTCTCTGTCTATCAATAGATGGAATAATCATGAATTTGCATAGTAGTATATGGATGAAGAAGTAGAGAATCTGTATTTTAAAAAAGAACCCAATTTTAGTACAAAAGGACCCAGAAATATGGAGGATCCTAATGTTCAAAGGCCACAAGATCACTAGTAACTGTTCACAAAATTTCAATACAACGTTACCATTGTTGCTTGAAATTTCAAATGAATAAAAATATACAATGAATCAATCAGGAAAATAGAAAGTAATTAAAAACCTAATTTCATTGTGAGCATGGATAATATAATAAATTGTTTGGATTAAAAAGAATTTTTTAGATTAATAAAAGAACAAGAAAAACTAGATTTAATGAGATTTAGGAATGAGAACTATAGATGTATGCATTTTTTTAAAGAATTTAGAAGAATCATTTCTCTTAGAAAAAGAAGTGTCCAAAACTTTACTTTTCATTGCAAATTTGAATGTCTTTATCAAAAATGTTTAAGGATAGAATTATATTATAAATTAAACTTACTGAAAATACTTAATATCACCATTATCAAAATAGTAACGACACTGCTTGGCCTTAACCTAGAACATTTAGAAAAATTAAAAATCACACAAAATTCAAGCAATGGAATCAAACAAGTAATGTACAGGTAGAAATAAAAAATTTAAATCACATAGAATATTATTGTTTATCTATAAATCATTATCTTCCGTTATTTATTGTAGAGAAGTTCTTTACCTTATGCAACATAAAAATAACTGATGTTTATATTATTGATAATCATTATAATAAAAAGTAATATAAAGATACTAGGCAGTAAGCACCTTGTTTTCAACCACTCAAAAACCCTGATGACCGATTCACAATTGTTGTTTTTTAACATAAAACTGTCTCTTCTACAACAATTGAAGTTACTCACTAAAAATGTATGGTACTATAACAGTGTTTTTATTACAGAAAAAAAAATGGGAGAGAGTTTCTCACCCTTTCTCAAAAACAAGATGAGATTTCAAAAAGTTAACTGAGATTTCTAAAAATTAAAAAAACAAAACACAAATAGACTTGGAAAAAAATTATTTCATTAATTATAATAAATTTTTATCATCTTCTAATTAAATATTTTTGCTGCATCATCACATGGAAAATGTTCCATATCTACTTTTTCCTCAGCTATTATATTTATTTGGCTGAAAAATATCCGTATTTGTCTCGTTTTGACAGTTTCTACCGACATTTGTTTCAGTTTCATTTGTCCGTTATGGAGTAGAAGCTGTCGCCTTAACAAGGTATTTGTCCATCTTACATTCATGCACAAAAAGGTACGCGTCTTACATGAAGAAACCTTATCTATGGTGAAAACGTGGTTGCAGAGAAATACGTTCTGAAAGAGTTCTGTGGTTCGGGGGGGGGGNGCACCGGTTCTGAACAATACTGGTAAATAGGGAAGCTAGATAACAAGGACCGATGTTCAAAATAATGAAAGATCAAGGAAGAAAAGTGAAACAGATTTTATTCAAAATAAAATGGCAAAAGAAGAATTTTTTTTTCCAAAATTCGCGCATTTTGAAATTGATTAATAGAGTGCGCGAACTTCTCCCATTAATCATTTTTTATTGCGAGAAAAGAAAAAAATATCCGAGATTCTCACGCTGTAGTGAAAACACTGTATAAATAATTGTTTGCTTATGCTTGTGCTTTCTCTTCCCCCTTCAACATTCATATCTTTTAAATTAAATGCTTATTATCCGTCAAATTTGATTAGTAAATTACATGAAAGATCTCATATGATTCCATTTTCCATATGATTCTATTAAGATCTATAAGTCAACACAAATAATTTCCTTTTCTTTTAAAATACATTTAAAATTAAAAATATATTGTCATAACAAATTTGGTAGGTTCACAACTGTAATTTAATATTTTTCCTGGCTGATTTATTTAATAAAATTTATGCTTGCATCATTTTGACGATTCAATCCTGCTGAAGCAGTATCAAAAGTCCAAAACTAAAAAAAATACTCTTAGAGGCATTTATTCCATAAATAGATAAAATGTAATTAATTTTAATGATGTAGTTACTGCTTTATTATACCTATTAACTAGACATTTATTGTCTGAAATTGTTCTAAACTTATTTCAATCATATTCTATGTGCTTTAAATTGGATCAGACTAATTATTTTTTGAAATTATACTAAATCTTCTATAACTTAAGCATTTTCTACAATACTGCATGATTTGCTCAAAATAATTACCATATTTTGTTTAAAAAGTTGGGAAATCAGTAATTATAGTTAATTTTTTTATTGTTCATACATTTGCTCCATGGTTGCAAGTTGATTTTGCAATGTAAGTCAAAGTAGTAAAAAATTATTGTTCTTAATGCTTTCAAAGAAAAAACTGCTGTTTTAAACTTTTTCGAAGGCGAACAGTTGCCCACTTCAAACTATTCCTAGCATACAATCACATCAATGATATTTACTGTCTATAAAACAATCAAATATGGAGTCAGTCAGAAAGAGCCTTTCAAAGCGTGCTGCAATTGCCACTAAAATATAATTCCGATTAAGAAACAACTCATTGGATTCATTATGTTTTTTAAGATTCCATTTTTTAGAATTAAAAAAATAATATTTTTGAAACCACAATTATCATAATTTCTAGGCATTTTCATTCCAAAGATTACATGTCATATTATTTACAATAGGGGTGCACAACCTTTTTGAGTGAAGGGCCACATGCACAGCAGATTGACCAATGAAGGGCCGCATGCCTAAGTATTTCGACAGGCATATTGACAGCAATTATGGGTAGTAATTGTTATATAAGCATCATTCTAGGCACTAAATTCCCTTTGTTAGTTAACCTTGTAATATCTTTCCACAAAATTATATACTTTTAAATGTTTAAAATTAGAAACTGCAAAACTGATTACTTAAGAAAAAAAAATAGAATCAGAAAATCAGAATCAATTTATCAGATAAAATTTAGATAAATTGAAATAATTAAAAATTTGGGGAAATTTCATATTTTTTTTTATCATATTACTTAATACAAAAATTCATTTAAACATAAATTTAACATTAAAAAATTTGTTCATAGAATTAAATTTAAAATAAATAAATAAATATTCTAGTTATTAAAATAAATGCAAGTTAAATACTTTGATTTAAAGAAAGTTTATAGGGTTAAAAATGATCAAACTTAAAACAAAACCCCTTCTGCGGAAAATAAGATTTAGCATTTAGTAGGGAATATATTTTAACTATAAAATGGTTACTTTAAATTAATTATAAGAGGCAGGGGCTGAGAGATGAAAGAAAAGGAAAGAAAGAAAACATGAATTTTGAAGAAACTATTTTCCTTAATAATAGAAAACTATTAGGATACTTGCTTACAACTTTTATGACGAATATTTTTTAACATGATACTTACTATTTACAATTAATACACATATATATATTAACAATTAATAAAGTTTACATTACTTTTCTAAACAATTTTTTGTTAAAGTTAAAATTTAATGATATACAAATCTTTCCCAGTATATTATCATAAATGATATGAAATGGTCTAAGTAGGTAGAAAATGGTTTAAAAAATTTCTAATTGGTTACCCTGTAATTTGCAAAACTTTTAAATATTGGGATAATTTTATCTACTCGATCATGTGATAGCTTTTTCGAGCCATTAAATGAAAATTTAATGATTTTGTTTAAAGACTGCTCTGTAATTTTAAACAGGCCAATTTCATTTTGGAAAACAGTCTTTCAATAGAAGTTGTTGTTGTGGCTGGTATTAAACTAAAACTTATCAGTTTTGGAATCTGTCCTAGATGGTGTTATTCCTTTCCCAATTTTTAAATCGCGTGAATACAAAAAGCAATGTGTTATTTTTAAATTGCTTGAATACGAATTGCTATTATTTCGTAAATATAAAACGTGATGCGTTGATTTCAAATCCCGTGAACACGAATCGAGATGTGTGGTTTTAAAATTGCGAGAAAACGATTCACAACGTATGATTTTTAAAATGCGTGAATATGAAACGCGATAGGTGGTTTTTAAATTACGACAATATAAATTACGGTGTGCTATTTTTTAATTGCGAGAAGAATAACAATGTATGATATTTTAAACGCCAGAACACGAATCACGATTTTAAATCTCGCTAATATGAATTGCGATTAATGATTTTTAAATGTATTACGAAGTGCAATTTTAAGATCGCATAAATACGAATTATGACGTGTGACTTTTTAATTACGAAAAGGATCAAAACGTACGATTTTTAAAATGTGTAAATACGAATCGCGATATGTGATTTTTTAAATCATGTGACTACAAAAAATAGGTTGTGTGTGTTCTTAAACATGCACATGTTCATGGGACAAAATAAATATGCACGCGTTTTGAGTTATTTTTTGCTAAAGGGAACGCGTTTAATATAAATATTCACATCTCATTTTTTTTTTTAAATTCTCTTTGGGAAAGTATCTGTTTTGTTAAGATACGTAATTGCTTTTTTAGTTACAAAAAAAATAAAATAGAATCATATTTCACGAGTTGTAATGTGTTAAAATATCAGGATATTCTAAATCCCAATTAAAAATGCAGAACTGGAAAGAGAGAAAAAAAAACACGTTCAAAAAAACCTCTTATATTTATGTTAAAATCGGTACAAATATAGGGCCTAAAAAGCTATTATTTTAATGTGCGATTCAAAACTCTCGTGCAGTCAAATTATTAACAGTATTAAAAACATCAGATTTTTTTTTTAATCACGGGGAAAAGCGCAGTTATAACTACCAAAAGAATTATCAAAATCCTTTTATATTTACGATAAAATTGCTTCAATAAAACGGGTCAAAAATTCATGTATTTTAATGCAGGATTCGAAATTAAAGTCGCAATAGTGTATAAAAAATATCGGGACTTTCAAAATTTTGTAGAAATGTGTAACAATAGTTGCCAAAATAACGATTGAAAAGTAATTTGACTTGCGCTAAAATCTGTACAAATAAACCACGTCAAAAAATGGTTACATAAGCGATGCTTTACTCGCGATTCATGCTGAAATAAATATCGAAATTATAAAAACGTGCAGAAATGTGTAGCAATAACTGCCGAATAAAGGATTAAAAATCATTTAGATTTTCCATGAAGTTTGTAGAAATAAAACGTTTCAAAAATCGCAATTTCAGTGACTACGTGAAAATGGGTAGCAATAACTACCGAAAAGTCATTGGATTTACTATGAAATCGGCACAGACGAAAAGCGAAAAAGTGTTAACTAAAATTCGTATATTGTAATAATGGCGTTTAAGAAATTTTTAAAACTATACACAAATTCGTAGAGTTAACCATCGATTGAAATTGGGTGTGTCAAAAACTTAAATGCGTAAATTTCAAATATCCGATTTTTTTTCAAAAATAATAAGAAAAAAAAACTATTTTTTTTCCATTTTGTTCATATTGAAGCCGCGGGCCGCACATTGAAGGTTGGCGGGCCGCATTTGGCCCGCGGGCCGCAGGTTGTGCACCCCTAATTTACATTACAATTCACATTTTTAAGAACAATTTTTTGTTTATTGTTGTAAAATATATTAGCATGATATTTATTTTTAGCACTATAATAATTATTAGACTGAGAAAATTTATCATATGTAACATCTTTAAATTTTTGAAAAACTCTAAAATTTTCAAAATCAATATGTAACTTAAATAATGAAATTTCATTAAGACCAAGTATTGCATAATTAAGAGGGGTGTCTATAAAGGCGCATGTTATTACTTTTGTAATGTTTCCTATTTTAACACTTACCTTTTGGAGGTTTCCTTTGATATTTCCTTGAAATTGCGAAATTAAAATCCTAGTAGAGTTCGAATGTTTTTTTGATTGTCGTATAAAATGTTTTGGAATTATANTCTAAAGATAATTTTCTTGTTCATCAGAAAGGAAAGAAATACTCCTGATTTTTCTATTCTCATTTCAGAATTAAAAAAATTTGCCAATGACTAGCTTGCTAAAGCTAGAATTTTAAATTGATAAAATAAAAATAATAAATCAAAAATAATAATAATTCTGAAACCACAGAAGTTTAAAACATATTTCACTCTAGAAATGATATTTTTTCTTTCATTTTTTGAAAGAACACCATAATTTTTAAAGAACATGATAAAAATAATTTTATATTTTAATAAAATATGATTCTGAGTGGGGATTTTGTTACAAATTCAGATATTCAGAACACCATGATATTGGGGGCAGAGGAATCCCATTCTAAAAATAAAAATTTTCGAGGATGTAAATCCATGGCTTTTCATTATTTATTTCTGTTTTAAATAGTTAAAATCATGACATTTCATGACAAATTTTGTTCAACACCGAAATTCATGACTTTCCACGATTTTTCAGGTGCGCGGATACCCTGCATAAAAATTCACAAAAAAAAATTTTTTTTTAGAAATATTTATGTAAAAATGTATTAAAACAATTTTCTATAAATTGCAAACAAATCAATGATCGTAATTTTCTAATCCGTAAATAATTTAATCATGTTACTTCTTAATACATTTGTAGTCTTTCCCCTCATAAGGGTCTTAAAATACTGAAGCACTTAATATCCAATAATTTAAAACAACACCCATTAAGGAAATATTACTTAACTAAGAAAATCTATAAAATAGTTAACTGAGGAATCATAAGCCATATGGCACAAAGCAAAGACTTCCTTTCTGAATTTAGATAATAGTCTTAATCTTCATAACTAAAAAGGGTTCATTATTAACAATTTGTCTTTGTTTCTTAGTGAGGAAGAAAATTTCAATCCCTAAGCAGGTGGGAAATTCAGTGTCTTCTGATGTTGAAGAACACTGAGACCTATACTTACAGGGTTCCAACTCAATTACAAAAAGAAAAGAAAAAAAATCCCTAAGTTGTTTACAGGTATATTAATTTCAATGAAAATTCAGACCATATTTTATCTATACCATGCAATTAGTCATCAGAAAATTTCAACTTTTTTTTAATTTGCTATGTCAAGTCAAACAAGATTTTGTGTGGAAAAAAATATCATTGAATGAAGATGGAAACGGGGAAGTTTCATGTCAGTTTTCAATGTGAAATTTTTACAATAAATAACTGCAATCAATGTTAAAATTATTTAAATAAAAATTTTTAAACTGATTTCATTTATTGACAATTCCAGGACTGGTCATTTTTCATGATATAGGAATTTTCCAGGTTTTAGTAAAAAAGTTGCAACTTTCCCAGACTATTCATTGCATTTAAGAATTAAAATGAAATTATCCGACAATTCCAATTTTTCCTGTTCTCTCTGGCCATGATTTATGTCTTGGCTATGAAGTTAGTTTACATATTAACACTGCCAGGGGTCTGTCTAGGATTTTCTGAAAGGTACCTATTTTGTGAAAATTTTGACATAATTCGTGAAAAATTATATCAAAAAGTCAACACAAAAACATGGTAAAAATATAGATTTATCGCTTCTTAAGGGAGACAAAAATAAAATTTTGAGAAAAAGTATTTTGTGAAACTACCGTTTTTCTTAAAGTTAAATTTGTGAAACTACCGTTTTACCTAAAATTTAATTTGCGAAGGTACCGCTAAACGGTAGTAAATTCGGTCTGGACAGACCCGACTGCTAAGTCACAAAATGAAAAATTAAGTGTTGTCTATAGCAAATTACATGAATTTAATTTTTTTTAAATGTTTCAATCTTTAATATTAGAATCTTTTTTTCCTTTAATACATAGATGCATGCTAAGAATTAAATAAATAATTCAAAAAAATATATATCCTTAAACTAAGTGTAATATATAAGTTAAAACTGTATCAATTATTTGATATTAGTCAGGCTTAAAAACAAAATAACATAATTAGCAGCAATGAATATATCAACTGAAAATTCATAGATAAAAATAGCTACAAAATAACTGCCAAAAACTACAGACAAGATTTAAAGGACAACGCATTTAGTAAACAGAAAAATAAAATAAATCATACAATACACTTTGTTAAGAAAATAAAGAATAAATACTTAATATAAAACCAAGCCCACCAATTCACGTTAAAAAGAATGGAGCATAAATTAAATTTTTAGGTATACGTTTGCATTAAAATTCCGCAGTCTGTCTAAATTTGCTTTGTTGCAAAATTTAATTTCCTTCAAACTATTAATTAATCATAAAATACACTACAATTCATTATATTGAAATCTTTACCGTTCTGATCAGACATAAAAGCGAAGAGCAAACAAGTGTCCACTGCGGTTTCATCAAGGTAATTTTTGTCAGCAAGGGCATGATGATGACTTATAACATTTCCTTTCATCAGTGAAAAATATTAGTCCTTAGTTTCACCACAAATACAGGTGTGGAAACTTCAAACATGCGCAATTTTAATGTACGCGTACTTCCTAAAATTTTTTAAGGGTTTCCGCTAACCAAAGAAGGACACAGTTTTAATTGAGCGAAAAACTTTTCTCAATGATGACAAACTTATGCACCAAAAAGAAAAATATAATGGTTAATTATATAAGAAAAAAATCAATTAAGTTTCGCAATCAAAAAATCGACTCGTAACAATCCTTTCAGTCCTTCAATCCGAAAAGCATTGAACGGAACAAAACAAACATCGTAGCGAAATGAAAGTGCCAGTGAAAATTTTCGATGTGATGCTTCCAGTTAAAATAAAAAGCGGAAAAATAAGAATGTAAATTAATTTTTCAACTAAATAAGACAAATAATAAAGTATATATTTTTTTCATCTTTCATTTTTTAGAAATTTTTATGGTAAAATAAAGAAGACTGAAAATCTTTGTTAAGCTTCTGTGATTGGTGAATATTGTAATACCACGTGCTGGTAGCGTTGAAGAAGATCAAACTTGAGTTTCTTGAATATATTGCTCTATTTTGTGAATTGAATTAAAATTACATTTTTATGTAAGAATGGAATATTCAAAAGCCATTGTGTAAGAATTGATAGTTTCTACAGCTTGAGTAAAAATGAAATTCAATTTTTGTTACTTTTGGCAACACCGAGTGACAAAACCGGCTTGCCCATTTTTGTTTTTTTTTTAATTTTTTAAACACCATTACTTAGGAGTTGCACGTGTCAAGTGAACAGTATGGCAACTCAAGACAAATTAACAAGAATAGCAATTGTCAGTAATGACAAATGTAAACCGAAGCGATGTAAACAAGAATGTAAAAAATCTTGTCCTGTGGTTCGTATGGGGAAGCTTTGTATTGAGGTAACACCAAATGATAAGATCGCATCTATATCAGAAGACCTTTGTATTGGTTGTGGTATTTGTGTCAAAAAATGTCCCTTTGAAGCTATAACTATTATTAACCTTCCAAGCAATCTAGAAAGAGACACTACTCATAGGTACAGTCAAAATTCTTTTAAACTTCACAGACTTCCAACTCCAAGGCCTGGAGAAGTATTGGGGTTAGTTGGCACTAATGGTATTGGTAAATCAACAGCGTTAAAGATTCTTGCTGGTAAATTGAAACCTAATCTCGGGAAATATCTAGATCCTCCAGACTGGACTGAAATATTGGCTCATTTTCGAGGATCGGAGTTGCAAAATTATTTCACTAAAATTTTAGAAGATGATTTAAAGGCTATTATTAAACCCCAATATGTTGATCAAATACCTAAAGCTGTACAAGGTTCCGTGCAACAGTTGTTGGACAAGAAAGATGAACTTAAAAATCAAAACTTGATATGTGAAATGTTGGATTTAGGAAATGTTAGGGATCGACAAGTTCAAGAATTATCTGGTGGGGAATTACAACGATTTGCTTGCGCTATTGTATGCATACAAAAAGCTGATATATTTATGTTTGATGAACCTTCCAGTTATCTGGATGTAAAACAGCGTTTAAAAGCTGCTGAAGCAATTAGGTACCTAATTAGTCCTACCAAGTATATCATCGTTGTTGAACACGATTTATCAGTGTTAGATTATCTCTCTGATTTTATATGCTGTTTGTATGGTGTGCCAGGAGCGTATGGTGTTGTTACTATGCCTTTCTCGGTTCGAGAAGGTATCAATATTTTTCTGGATGGATTTGTCCCAACGGAGAATCTCCGGTTTAGAGATGTGTCTTTAGTTTTTAAAGTTTCTGAAACAGCATCTGAAGAAGAAATCAAGCGTATGTGTCGTTATGAGTATCCCAGGATGGTTAAGCAGTTGGGCAACTTTAAAATGTCCGTGGAGACTGGCACTTTCACTGATTCGGAGATCATTGTTATGCTGGGTGAAAATGGTACGGGCAAGACGACTTTTATCCGAATGATGGCTGGCAAATTACAGCCAGACGATGGTGGCACCATTCCAACTCTAAACATCAGTTACAAGCCGCAAAAAATATCTCCCAAATCGCAAGGTTCTGTTCGACAATTGCTGCACGAAAAAGTCCGTGATGCCTATGTCCATCCCCAGTTCATCGCTGATGTCATGAAACCTCTGCAGATTGATAACATCATTGACCAAGAAGTCCGCAATTTGTCTGGTGGTGAGTTGCAAAGAGTTGCCTTAGTGCTTTGCTTGGGTAAACCGGCTGATGTTTACCTTATTGACGAGCCCTCTGCCTATCTGGATTCCGAACAGCGTTTGGTTGCAGCTAAAGTTATCAAACGCTTTATTTTACACGCTAAGAAAACCGGTTTTGTCGTAGAGCACGATTTTATAATGGCTACTTACCTTGCTGACAGGGTGATTGTATTTGAAGGTAGACCATCAGTTGAAACTCACGCGAACTCTCCACAAACCCTCCTTGCTGGTATGAACAAGTTCTTAGAATTGTTGAACATTACTTTCCGCCGAGATCCTAATAATTTCCGACCACGTATTAATAAATTAAATTCAGTAAAGGACTCTGAACAAAAGAAAGGTGGAAATTTTTTCTTTTTGGAAGATTAATGATTATTTTAACTAGAAAATTTCACAGTGCCTTGCAGGCACAATATAATAAAAAGCAACAAAAACCATAATTTATTACAAATATATTTGTTTTATTTTTTACATTTTTATATATAAGTGAAATTTGGTGGTACAAAACTAAAGGTTTTTGTAAAGTTATTTCATTTGTTATGCATATATAAAACTTTTAAGTCAAAAACCTTTTTTTTCCCTCATTAGTTAAAATCATTAATGAACTCTTTGTTGAATAAAATAAAAGTGTGGGAAATGACATAGTGCCCTGGCACAATATAATATAAAAATTAACCAATTTAAAATTTTACTTGAGTATTTTTTAACACTTTTATGAAATAAAAAAAGGTGAAATATATAGGAAAATAAGTGAAGAATGTTAAATTTATAATTCAAAATAATTTTATTTTTATGTACCTCATTTTAGAAGTTAAATATGCATGCATTCGCTATAGTAAGGTGTGAAAAGCTCTGTTAAACCATAGTTTATTATGTTTTTGTTCTTATAATATATCAGAAAGCATATTAAATCATTTATAATTATGTTTTAAAAAGTAATTTTTTCGAAGCAAGAACAGTTTCTTTTATCGATTATTATTACTTGAAACTTATGTAGCCAGCGCCTTGAAGGTGCATTTTTAAGTAAAAAGAATAACTGAACCATAATTAATTACTATTTTATTTTCATGAAATAAAATATTAAACATTTTGTACTGTTATTTAAATTGTCGGAACTATATATAAATTTAATATCAATCTTGAAAGTAAAAAGAAAATAATTGTATTTGTGTTTTTTTGTTTTTGGTCAATATGATTAAAATTATTTTGGTAAATGAATGATTTGTATATTTTTTCTTTAATTTCTTAAGATTTTTTATTTTAGTTTATTGTTGTAAGTACAGTTAGACCTGTTGAAAAAAATATTAATACGCTTAATACTTGCCATTTTAAAGGTTATTTTAATATAGCCATGCACAATATTTTTGGTTTGTCCTGAAATATAAAGCGATCAATGTACTAAATGCCCTCCACTTTGACAACAAAGTTTGACTAGAAAAACTTATGTTTATAACTAGTATAAAAATATTTTTAATGTTAAGTATGTTAGGATCTTCAGACTAGTTTCAATAAACTTGACAGAAACACTGAAACTATAACATTAAATTTTTAAACCAAATTTAGTTAGAAATTGAAATATTTAAACCATGGAGTACTTCTATTTAAACCAAACGCTTTTTTCGGACCTATGGCGAGAGGCAAGCAACTTTTTCGTGCACCTATGACTCCACGATAATAATAATTCAAATCTGTCAAATTGAAAGCTCATCCTCCTACATTCCTTACTTCTGTGCTGATTCCAATTGGCTGACCACTACCATAGGAAAAAAAAGATTGCCTACTGCGTGTGTAGTTTAAAAAAAATCTCAAACTCTGCTTTACATCATGTTATGTTTTTTATTCACACACAAAAAAATGCATTTTTTCTGAAACGTATTTAATTTTTTTAAATGGTTTTAACATTTTATTTAGCATGCACATTTTCTAATTATATCTTGATTCGGTTACTATTTTGAAAATTGCAGTCATATAAATGTCATTTGTTTAAAGTAATTAGGTATTAATTTAAAAATAATTGTAATGTTACCTTAAAAATCAAATAAGGGTTATTAAATTATCTAAACAGATTGGGTGATTCATAAAACTTTTTTATGTGAAAGTAAAACTTTGAGATCAGTAAAAAAAATTCTTTCAAATACAATTATTTCATCCTCATTTATTTTCTTCAAATACAACCATTCATCCACAAAGTCATTTTTTTTACATTTAAATATTAGTTACTATAAAAACTTACCACAGAAGAGAATATTTAACATTGTGAAAAGTTTCTATTATTGCTTTAGAATCGTAAACTTTGATTTTGTATGAACTTCAAAAAAAAAAAAATTTCGTTAATAATGCAAAGAAAAAAGACTAACAGTATCAAAATTTTGCAAATCACAACTGAGAAATCTAAAATTAAAACATCAAAATCAGTTTGATTACCTGAGGTAACGGACAAAAGTTGATTCTAATTATTACAATGTATTTTTCTTAACTTAATGAAATTTATAGACATAAATTATAATCATAGTTAACATTCCTTCTGTTTTCTAGGGCGATCAAACTGGTTTTTATATTTTCAGTCTTGTTTTCCTGAGTAGTTATTCATTAGATTTCAATAACTTTTTTTTTTCACTTAAATATTCATTGTGTAGACTATTGTATAATTTCTTTTACTTACTTTTTGAAAAGATCTCTAGGCATGTTCAATACGGAGGGTCTTGATAAACACCTTGCATATGCATATTTTCATATTCTTCACTTACTAAATTAAATTTTCGCAATATTTTTATATTCCAATGTATTTTACAGTAATTTTTTAACCCTCCATAGAACAACTAGTTATTCCAGCCATTGGAGGAATTATTTATAGAAATGAAAATTAGCAACACTTCATCTATGTAATATAACTGTGTGTGTGTGTTTTTTTTTTTTTTTTTAGTAGTATATCAATTTGTTTCTTGATGTATTTTTTTATCATATTCTACAATTTATAACTTAAAAAAATATAAATATATCACAAACAAATTATACTCAACTTAGAATCTATGAACAGCACTCTGGCTTGCAGAAATGTACTGGAAAGTCGATGTTCTAGACTCTTATTCGGTCTACCTTAAACTAATGTTGATCTTTAACATTTGCATTTTGTCCTATAATGCAAAATTGTCAGATAAACGTCAATAATTTTATTTTAACCTACTAATTAGTATGAAATTTTTTTTTTAAAACTGCAATTTTGTGACGCTTTATAGTATATCTGTGTATTACGAGTCATTGTCTTGATTTCATTAAGTGTAGCTCACTATTTAAAAGAGACAAAAAGCTATTAAATAATTAAAATTTATATGGAAGGAGCAAACTAACAACGAATATTGCTTTCATAATAAATTTAAGAACTGATAAATAAAAATAATCAGAAGTTTAAAACTCTCCCCATATCAGTTCTTCAAAAATGCATTTTTAGAAAAATAAGTAGTACTTTAAAAAGTTGAGTAAATAGATGTAAGATTTTCGAGATGAGCAGTTAAGGATTAGTCAAAGTTATGTAACTTTCCTAGTAAGGCTGAGAACTAACAACTTTTTCGTTCCTCAATGAAATGGATTTCCCACAAAAACGAATTAAAAATTTGTAAGCAACAAATCGTTTGTGGTTGCCTTCTTTTACATTGTAGACGCTAGAGGACCAGACCACCGATCGGGTCAGCAGAGGAGATAAGGAGTGGTAGATTTATGAGGAATTAAAATGTAGAACTCCTTATCTGAACAATTTGTTCTTGTGGAATATAACATTTCTTTCAATTAGTTTTTGTGGAATATCTATTTCACTGAGGAAAGCAAAAGCTGCTTGCACATAGCCTAAGACTAGGTGCCCCCTTCTGCTGTCCAGACGAGTGGTCCTCTCGTTGTTCAAGCCTCCGTCTTCTAGCGTCCACCATGTAAAAGGGGGCAACACAAACAATTTGTTGCTTACAAATTATCAATTTGTTTTTGTGGGATATCTATTTCATTGAGGAAAGCAAAAGCTCTTGCGCTCGCCCTTAAACTGTGAGCAGCAAAGTTATTTAACCCCACCACAAAATTTGTAGGCTACAAGTGCTTTGTGGTTGCCCTCATTTTACATGGTGGACTCTACAGGACCACCCATAGAGTCAGCCAAGGGCGAGATAAGGATTGATGAAGAATTGGAATGCAGAAAGCTTTATCTTTCAATTTTTTTTGTGGGTATCTATTTCATTGTGGAAAGAAAAACTTGAGGGAAAAAGCTCTTACTCCAAGGTAGAAAGTGACTTAAGTTTCATCAGCAGTATTACAAAAAGTAATAATGATTAAAAATTTTGACTCACATTTTCGTGGACTGATAAGCTAAAAAAAATTAATAGTATATTTTCTTTTTAACTGAAAACTGATTCTTGGGTAATAAAAACAGATTCTAAGTATGACAAATGTTAAAAGCAGAATTGAGGAGTCTTGGAGCAACATCTCATGAGATTTAAGAGGAAAATTTTTTTTATTCATAATGAATTTTTTGATAATTATGAATAAAAAAATGTCATTACATTCTGGCTTCAAATGGCTCTCTCTACTAGAACACTAGCAATTGCTAGTGTTCTAGTAGAGTGACTAACATTAATGTTAGTCATCAACGTATTTAATAATTTATTTAGGCAAGATTTGAAGATTAGAGTTTGAATGTGAAACTTCATGCCCTAAGAACTGGATCAAAAGTTCTTTTAATCTTACGTGTGCGGTAACAAAATTAAAATGAAAAAGAAGCTATATCTCATGCCAAAACAAGTGGAAGGAGTATCATAAAAAAAGTTATAAAATTTGCTAGAAAGATCTTAAAGGCAGAAGAGAATTAAATCCGAGGAATTTATTGTGAATGAATATAATTAACTGTGAATTGTCTAACGAGATTCGGAATTTATTTTAAGAAAGCTAACTCCCTAAAAGACTAATTTCAAAAGATATTCAAATAATAGAAATAAATATAAAAGAAAATTTCATATTCACGATTCAAAAGCAGAATGGTTGAACAGCTGGATCGTTCTTTGCGCCAACTGAAATTGCCAAGTAAAACAATACGATTCTAGCACTTGGAATAAATTAAAACTATTTATCTTTAGTGGCTTGCCCAGATGTGACTTCGAGTTAAACCATTCAATATTGTCTCATTCTGGGATTTTGTGTACCGGTTTAGCGACACCATCGCCATCTTCCCTTACTGTAATACTTGTAGGGTACTAAAAAGAAAAAGAAAATCAAGTAACCATTTATGAATGTGACTGCATGCATGAAAAAGATTGGGAAGGTGAATAATTCCTTATTTTATTATTTTTATTTTCAAGAAGTGTCTGGTCCTTGTGGATACATCCGGCTACGTCAGTGCTTCTATTAAATTTTCATTGCTATATTTTCTAATTAAATGAAATCCTTTTTTTTATTTATAGTTGTGTACGAAGAAACTTGATGTTTAGGTGTAAATTAACTCCGATTTATTATGTAATGTACAGTGCGATAAAATAAAAAAAACTGACCACTCAGAAAAATCGGGTTGTAGGGCTCGATCTTAATGTTAGTTTTGAGGGGTCACCTCAAATATGCTTCCCATAACAAATCAAGACCTGACCCAGCAGTTTCTTTGTCTTCTGGATTGATTCAAAATTACAAGGCTATGGAGTTGAACATTAGTAGACGTAAACCCAAAGATTGGATCGGCTGTTCAACGACGGATATAAAAAAAAATTAGTGCAGACGATGATTTAAGTTACGCAATCAGACACAAAAACGTACTTTCTCTGAATAAACATACTTTTTTTTCCCTTCGGTTTTCTGACCCCTAAATATGGTAAATATGATCCCCATACTTAGGTCAGGAGAGCGATCCCTTAATGTTAATGTTACTTTTTGCGTATTTTGCCTTATCTCAAGACCTTTTTAAACGAATTGAAAAAATTTTGCGCACAATTATAAAGTTTATTTATCCAAAGATTATTCTGTACAAAAAAATAAATTTTATTTAATAATCATTTTAAAGTAGTATTTAATTTTACATGGCAAAATACAAAATTTGAGTGAAATCGGTTGAATAGTTTCTGAGAAATCGAATTTTAAATATACGACTTCTTTAAAATTCGATCTCTCCAGAACTATTCAACCGATTTCGCTCAAATTTTGCCATGTTAAACTACATACTTTAACTATTATTAAATAAACTAATAAAAAGTAGTAAA